GGGCACAGCACCTGCAGCCTCTTGCAGTAGGTTTTGCTCTGGGGGTTGTAAACGTCACAGAACAGCCGAGTGGCCCTGGGGGGGACACAAGAGGTGTCCTGGGTGGGGGGGACAGGGTGCTGAAGGACTCCCCGCCCCACCCCAGACAGCCACAATCCTCCCCCTCAAACTCCCCCTTGGGTGCTCCCCTGGGGGGGATGACACCCCCACCCCAAAAAGTCTCCCTTGGGTGCTGCCCTCCCCCTTCCCAGGAGGATTTAGGGGGGTGGGAGGACCCCCCTACCCCAGAAAGCCCCCCAGGGTGCCCCCCCTCCCCAGAGCCCCCTCCCCACTCACCCCTCGATGCGGGTGGGGTACATGGACCCGAAGGACGTTTGGCTCTCGTACTGCAATGGGGTGGGGGGGGTCAAAAAGGGGGCAGGGATGGGACCCCTGAGCCCACCCTGGGCCCTATGGACCCCCAACCCCTATAGAGCCCCCCCTGAGCCCTCCCATAGGGTCCTAAGGGCCTCCCAGCCCCTATAGAGACCCTCCCCACAGAACCCCCAGTCCCTACAGAGCTCCCAGCAGGTCCTACAGCCCCCCCAGCCCCTATAGAAACCCCCAAAGTTCCTTCGCAGCGTCCCCCCAGCCCCCTAGGAACCCCCCCCAGTCCCCCCAAGCTGAGGGAAGGGATCCCCGTGGCCACTGCAGGATCTGGGAGGGGTGCCCAGCTCAGGGGGCTCCCAAAGTTCCCCTAAAAGGATCCCACAGGAGCCCAGAGAGTCCTGTGGATGATCCCACAGACCCCATGGATGATCCCACAGCAGCCTGGAATGCCATGGATGACCCCAAAGACCCCAGGAATCCAGAGGTGACCCCAGACCCCCCCAAATCCCGGGATCACCTTGGCGTAGCAGCGCTCCATGTGCCGCAGGGCCACCTTGGGGTTGATGGGGTGGCCGCAGGACACGCAGAAGATCTGCAGGTCCGTGTCCTCACTGTCCCCCTCCGTGCTCTGGGGAGACAGCGGGGTCAGGGGGTCCAAGGGGGGACCCAGGCATTGGGGGGACACAAGATTAAGGGGCTCCAGGGCCACGCAGATGCTCCAGGGAGAGGTTTGGGGGGACCCAGGTATCCATGGGGGACCCAGGACAGGGCTCAGGAGAGACTCAGAGATTTGGGGGATGCCCAGGGGGCACCCAGAATGGGGAAAAATAAAGGGGTTTGGGGGCATCCCAAGAGGGACCCAGAACTAAAGGGTTTTTGGGGGGCCCAGCCCTCCAGGAGCTGAGTGTCGGTACCAGGGGAGCAGAGGGGTCTCAAGAGGAAGCCAGAACGGGGAGAATGAAAACATTTGGGGGCACCCAGATATCCACGAAGGACTAAGGGGGATCTCAAGAGGGACCCAGAACAGGGAAAATTAAAAGATGTGGGGGCAACCACGTATCCATAAATAACCAAGTGCGATCACAAAAGGGATGCAAAACGGGTAGAATGAAAGCATTTCTGGGGTCCCCAGCCCTCCGGCAGCCCCGGGGGGTGCCCACCTCCTCGTCCTCGCGGGGCGGGTGCCCCTTGGCGCGGGCGATGAGCCCCTCGAGCTCGTGGAAGCGCCGCTCCATCTCCTGCAGCCGCAGCCGCGCCTGGTGCTGCTCGCGCCGGATGCGCTCCAGCAGCCGCTTGCCGTGCTCCTCCGCCACGCACGGGCTCTGCTGCCACTGCTGGATCCGCTGCGGCAGGATCTCGTAGATCCGGCTGGGATCGGGGTGAGGAAAGGGTTAACGGGGGCTGTGGGATCACAGGGATCCACTGCTGGATCCGCTGCGGCAGGATCTTGTAGATCTGGCTGGGATCAGGGTGAGGAAAGGGTTAAAATGGGAGCTCCAGGATCCCTGGCATCCACTGCAGCAGGATCTCGTAGATCCAGCTGGGATTGAGGTGAGGAAAGAGTTAACGGGGGCTGTGGGATCCCTGGGATCCACTGCTGCATTCACTGTCACAGGATCTCATAGATCCAGCTGGGATTGGGGTGAGGAAAGAGTTAACGGGGGCTGTGGGATCCCTGGGATACACAGCTGGAGATCCGCTGTGGCAAGATCCTGCAGATCCAGCTGGGATCGGGGTGAGGAAAGAGTTAATGGGGGCTCCGGGACCCCTGGGATCCACTGCTGGATTGGTTATGGCAGAATCTTGTAGATCCAGCTGGGATCGAGCTAACAGTTAATGGGGAGTGCAGGATCCCTGGGATCTGCTATGACAGGATCTCATCAATCCAGCTGGGATCGGGGTGAGGAAAGGGTTAAAATGGGGGCTCCGGGATCCCTGGGATCCACTGCGGCAGGATCTCGTAGATCCAGCTGGGATTGAGGTGAGGAAAGGGTTAAGGGGGGCTGTGGAATCACTGGGATCCACTGGCGGATCCGCTGCTGGATCTGCTACGCCAGGATCTCATAGATCCGGCTGGGATCCAGGTGAGGAAAGGGTTAATGGGGAGTGTAAGTGGTTTATACTGGTCTGTACTGGTTTATATTGGTCTATACTGTAGAATGGTTTACCATTCTGTACTGGTTTACACTGGTCTATACTGGTTTGCACCGCTCTGTACAGATCATTGCTGGTTTATACTGCTCTGC